TTCTCCATTGCTGGTGGGAGTGCCAACTTGTACAGTCACTTTGGAAATCAGTATGGCGATTCCTCAAGAAAATGGGAATCAGTCTACCACAAGATCTAGCAATTCCACTCTTAGGCATATACCCAAAAGAAGCACATTCATACAACAAAGACATCTGTTCAACAATGTTCGTAGCAGCACTATTTGTAATAGCCAAAAACTGGAAGCAGCCTAGATGCCCCTCAACTGAAGAATGGATAGAGAACATGTGGTACATTTACACAATGGAGTACTACTCAGCAGAAAAAAACAATGGAATCTTGAAATTTGCAGGAAAATGGATGGAACTAGAAGAAACCATTCTGAGCGAGGTATCCCCATCACAAAAAGACAAACATGATATGTACTCACTCGTGTGGATTTTAAACATAAAGTAAGGGATTAGTAACCTACAATCCACACTGCCAGAGAAACTAGTAAACAAGGAGGATCATAAAAAAGACAAACTTAGTCCCCTGGAGAAGGGGAAAGGGTCATGATCCCCTGAGCAAATTGAGAGCATAGGAAAAGGGTGGAGGGAGCTACGAGAATGAGAAGGGAAGAAGAAAAAGGCTGCAGAGGTCATAAGGGAGCAGAAAGGTTGAGTCAGGTGTAGATTAGAAGAAAGGATATGTGATAGGTAGGGTTTTAGTTGGGGGGGTGGTGGAGGAGGAGGGGAGGGAGAAGGGAACTGGGATTGTCATGTAAGTCAATCTTGTTTGTAACTCAAATAAAACAAAAAAAAAAGAAAACTGTTTTAAAGGGAATAGAGCTACTAGCAAACAGTCTGGGGAAAGCAAAATGTGAAAAGCCCTTGGAAATGTTATGTCTTTGTTGATTTACTTCCCAAAAGTTGACTTGAACTGGACACCCACAATCTTGTTTCTACAGTCATTGTAAAGCAAGTCTGTCTTACAGCAAAGACTCCACATGCTTAGACAGAAGTGACCATCATTTGCTAAGCTTTCCCCATACCTCTTCACAGGCTCCCACCAATGTGTCATGTCTCTTCCTGTGTACAGCTCCAAAATCTTGGCTATAGGAGTTAGTAGACACTAGGTATCCACTATGTATCAGAATTCTTCAGCCATCTTGCCAGCTAGTGCTTTGGGTAGTTTAGTCAAGTCACGGTGTTTCAGGCAAGTAAAAATGAACAGTACCCCACCCTCCACTCCAGCAGCCAATCTACACTGCAAAGGTGGCTCCTTGGATCTTCCCCTGCCAAATGGAGTACATTCCCTGAAAACTCGTACTCACAAAGCCAACCCACGCAGCTGCTGAAAACATCTGGAAGTACAATGCAACACAGTCTCTGCCTTGGGGGGCAGGGTCTATGGGCTGGCCAGGGAAATCAGACTGTACACATCATGAGGATGCAATCTAGAGAATGTGTTACAAGGTGAAAAATAATACATAGATAATGAGGGAGGTAACCCAGACTAAGAGAGACAAAAATCTTGTGTTTTCTTTCATATGTACATCCTGCCTTTTACTTTTCAGTGCAGGGGCGGTGGGTGTAGTGTGAGTGTCACAAGAAGAGAAAAAGAGGTGTTGAGGAAAAAGATGGCCAATAGGACACAAGTAACACGTAAACAGAAGGGAGGCTTCTGGGAGTGAAATAGATGAGATAAAAGGAGAAAGATCAATAATTTCATATGAAAATGCCAGAATGAATCCTGGTACTTTCTAGGCTAACTTAAAAATTAAGTAAGTAACATACAGAGTTAAGAGGGAAAAGAAGCAGGCAGTGAATGGGTAGACCCTGGAAGTTGATCAAGATGGGCATTCCAAATGCATAAGGTCAGAGTTGGCCACACAGACATCAAGACAAGAAAAAATGACCAGTGTAAAGTCTTCAGATGAAAAATGCATGTGAGGTATTTGATGAACAGAAGGAGGCCAATAAAGGAGAGCAGAGTTTGCAAAGGAAGGAAGAGCTGGGAGGAGGCCAGAGGCGAGGTAGGGGGCATACCTGGTAGAACATCTGGAGCAGACAGCTTTGGCTTTTACTGTGTGGATAAGGATCCATTTGGAGCATTCTTCCTGATAGAAAAGAAAATAAGCAATCAAAATATATTTAAAGAAAAGGTGAAGTTCTGCTTTAAGCACACACACACACACACACACACACACACACACACACACACACACACACACACACAGTTGACAGAAGCTGAGTCCTCTCCATGAAGACTGTTAAGCTATAAGCCAAGTTATCACAATACTTTGGGGACCACAGATGGTGGGGGTAGGATATCTGTCCCCCTCCACTCAAAAGCACTGTGATGGTTAGCTGTAACTGTCAACTTGGCACAACCTAGAATCACCTGAGAAGAAAGACTCAATTAAGGGTTGCCCTGTGCGCATGTCTTTGAGGTTTTGTCTTAATTAAGTTCACTGATGTGGGAGAAACCAGACCAGCATGGGTGACCCCATTCCCTAGGCAGCGAGACCTGGGCAGTATAAGAGGGGAGAAATCAATCTGAGTATGAGCAAGCAAGCAGGTTTGCATACATTTCTATCTCATGTTTTATGATTAGCTCTTTGAAGTTTCACAAGCCTCAGTGAATTTCAACAATATATTATTGTTTTAGCATATTTGTGAAATTGTTATTTTTCTTTTAATTCAATTTAATTTTATCTAGTACCTATTCATTGAGGAAATAAACACAGAAGTTTCTATGGCTGTAGTCTTCCTGGATAGATAAGATATAAGCATAAACTTGAGAAATAACTATGGATACCTTATTGAGCTTTGGACCAACATAGCAGCTGTTGCTTATCAGAAATCCATGTTTACTCTGCAAAGAAAGTGGTGATAAGAGTTATAAAGAAGTAAAAGTTTTATCCCTTATCACTGGTAAAACACCTCTTACCTAGTATGATGGCAGTTGCATACCAGAAGTCTAGTCTAGTACAGTGGCTAGAAAGATGGTGCTGGGGTTAAGAGCACTGGCTGCTCTTGCAGAGGACTATAATGAGAACGAAGGCGATCTGTAGTCCATAAGGTCAAGATATTTTTATTCAGATAAACACCAGCCAAACACAAGCCAGAGCGTGCGAGGAGCAGCAAAGCAGGGAGGCCAGAACGAACGGGGCTCCCATGTGCTCACCACCCCTTAAGAGCTCATCCCTCGTCATCCTGACCTCACCTTGACCACGACTTGACAGGTATGGTCAGACACACCTGTAGCCAGCCTCTAACAGACATGGATTACTGTCCCCTACAGAGGACCTCAGTTCCATTTCTAGACCCACTTGGTGGCTCATAGCTGTTTGTAACTCCAGTTCCAGGGGATCTAACCCCCCTCTTCAGGCATTCTTAAGCACCACCAGGCACACAAGTGGGTGCACAGACATGCATACAAGCAAAACATCCAGACATCGAAAATAAAATAATTTTTAAAATCACAAAATATGAAAGAATACAAAAGCAAATACTGTCGTGTGTTTTTTATCTTAAAATGAAAAAGAAATACACAAAGAAAAAGCCCATTTGCCTAGTATAATAACCAAGACAACTCAAAATGGGTGGAACCCAGCTGAGCCTGAAAGGACAGACTGCTAATGAGTTTTGGAGTTAGTCTGCTGCCATGCTTTCTGGGCATCTGCCCCTTCATAACTGTCTAGCTTTGGGCACTTGATTTCTTACAGCTTTGTGTCTCCACCTAGTTGTTGGTAGCGTGACATGCTAGATTTTTAGAGCACTGTCAGGCATATGACTTCATCTCCATTGATTCTTTTTTCTCGTGACAAGCATTGCCTGTGCAGGAAACTGTGCTACTTCTGCAAGACAGCCACTGTCACCCCAGTCACAGCATTCTTTACAAACTAATTCTTTACAGGGGACTCTAGGAGATGCTTAGTAATCACACTTTCCAAAGACTTCTCAGACACACAGGGGACTCTAGGAGATGCTTAGTAATCACACTTTCCAAAGACTTCTCTGTAAACCATTCAGAAATCAAACAAGGCTTCTTAAAAATATTTATTATGTGTGTGTGCGCGCGCACACGCACACGCACACGCACGCTCTCTAATACACCAGCACTTACATAGAGGTCAGAGGGCAATTTGCAAGACTCAGTTCTTTCCACCATATAGGGGCTAGGCATCACACTCTGATCATCAGACGAGACAACAAACATCCTTACCCACTGAGCCGAGCCATCTCACTGGCCCCTCAAATTTTTGAATTTTTTTGAATTAATTAATCAATCAATCAGTGTCCAGACCAGTCACAGTTTCCCTTCCCTCCTCTCCTCCCAGTCCCTCTCCCCAACCTCCACCCCCATCCAAATCTCCCCCTTTCTCTTCAGAAAAGGGCAGGCCTCCCATGTATATTAGTCAGTCATGGAATATCAAATTGCATTAGGACTAGGTACCTCCTCTCCTACGAAGGCAAACCAGTAGGAGGAAAGAGTTCCAAAAGCAGGTAACAGTCAGAGACAGCCCCTGCTCTCATTGTTGAGAGCAAGACCAAGCTACACAACTGTAACATGGGTATGTGCGGAGGGCCTAGGTCAGTCCCATGCATGCTCTCTTGCTGCCAGTTCAGTCTCTGTTCAGCTCAGTCCCAACAAGCCCAGGTTAGTAGATTCTGTGGTTTTCTTGCCCTTGGCCCTCTGGATCTCACAATACTTTCTCCCCTTCTTCCACATGATTCCCTGAGGTCTACCTAATGTTTGGCTGTGGCTCTCTACATCTGTTTCCATTGTTGCTAGGCAAAGCTTCTCTGACGGCAATTGGACTAGGCAACAATCTATGAGTATAGCAGAATATCATTGGGAATCATTTCATTAACTATTTTTTTGCCAGTCATGTTTGGTTCTATCCTAGGTCTCTGGGCCATCCAGCTTCTGGGTCCTAGCCCTCCAGGCAGTGTCAGGGTGGGCTCCCTCTCATGGTATGGCTCTCAAGCTGAACCAGTCATTGGTTAGCCAGTCCCATAATTTCTATGCCACCTTTACCCCAGAATATCTTGTAGGCAGGGCAAATTGTAGGTAAAAGGTTATGTGGATGGGTTGGGGTCCCAATCCCCCCCCATTGGAAGTCTTGCCTGGTTGTAGGAGATGGCCATTCAGGTTCCGTATCCCCCATTGCTAGAAGTCTTAGCTAGGGTCACCCTCATAGATTCCTGAGAGTTTCCATTGGACTAGGTTTCTAGCTCATCCTAGAGATGCCCCTGGTTCCAGTTGTCTTTACCAGTACTCTCTCCCTCCATCCTCTCCCCACCTGATCCCTCCTGTCCCTACCCCACACCCATTCACACACCATGCCCCATCCATCTGTGATGTCTGTCCTATTCCCTGTTCACTGTGAGATTCTTATGTCCTCTCTTGAACACTCCTTGTTACTTAGTTTCTTTGGGTCCATGGATTGTAGCATGGTTATCCTTTACAACTAATATATATCTATAAGTGAGTACGTACCATGTTTATCTTTCTGGGTCTGGATTACCTCACTCAGGATGATCTTTTCTATTTATATCCATTTGCCAGCAAATTTCATGATATCATTGTTTTAACAGCTAAGTGATACTCCATTGTGTAAATGTATCATGTTTTCTTTATCTGCTCTTTTGTTGATGGACATCTAGGTTGTTTCCAGTTTCTATCTACTATAAATAAAACTACTATGAATATAGTTGAGGAGGTGTCCTTGTGGTTTGGTAGAGTGTCGTTTGAGCATATGCCCAGGAATAGTATAGCTGGGCCTTGAGGTCAATTCTCAGTTTTCTAAGAAACTGCCATATTGATTTCCAAAGTGATTGTTCAAGTTTGCAGTTCCACTAGCAGTAAAAGTGTTCCTCTTACTCCATATTCTCACCAGCATGAGCTGTCACTTGTGTTTTTGACCTTAGCCATTCTGACAAGTGTAAGATGGAATCTCAGAGTCATTTTGCTTTGCATTTCCCTGATAGCTAAGGATGTCAAACAAGGGTTTTAGCTGAGGCCTCTCCTCCCCAGTTGTCTCAGTATACATCAAAGTATTCAGTGTTTGGGTGAATTCTCAGGAATCCTGGCAAGATGAACAGTAAATAAACAGGAGTTTCACAAGCTAGACATAAAGAAGTCATTTTTTAAGTACCTCTTTGTTTTCCTTTTCAGGCAGTCCACATCATAATTGGATTGATGCACATTGGCTTTGGAGTTGTTCTCGGGTTGCTGAACTCCTATTACTACGTGTCTTGGGCATTTTACTCTATTGCTTTTATTGGTGGATATCCATTCTGGGGTGGAGTCTCTGTGAGTAGATTGTTAGAACACCTCTTCCTGCACAGTATGTGTGTCTCCATCTGTTCCCAGCTCAGTTCTTGATGTGTCTGGGGGCTAGAGAGCTTCCAGAAATACTACCTCTGGTTGAGCAGCAGAAAAAAGGGCCTGTCACTCCCCACTCCAGACAGGTTAAACTCACTCCTAATGCAAGCACGGATCAAGAACTCATGTATTGGATGGAGAGTTGTGAAAGGAATTATCTCAAACATGACAAAAAAATAGTTCAGTGACAAGATGAGATTGAAGACAAGATGAGGCTGAGGACAAGATGAGGTTGAGCAGGAAGCATAAATATTCAAACAAACCCAGAGTCATCTGTAACAGGTGTTCTGCACACACAAGAAAATGAGGGTGCAGAATCAGAGATGTATCCCCAAAAGTTACTCTTAAAAAACAAAACTGAGCTGACAGCCTTAATGCATAGGAGAGGGGCTTGGTCCTGCCCCAACTTAATGTGCCAAACTTTGTTGGCTCCTCATGGGAGCCCTCATGAGAGGAGTAGACAGGTAGTGGGCTGGGCGGGGAGGGTAAGGGGGTGTGAGGAGGGGTAGGAGGGAAAACTGTGGTTGGAATGTAAAATGCAATTTAAAAAAATAAATAGATTATATATTTTTTTAAAAAAAAATGAGCTGTATGTGAGGGAAACAAAACACACGTAGCTAGAGCAACCTCTTGTAGAAGGAGACAGTTCCAGGCACAGAAGAGAACCTACCATTCACAAATTTGTCTGTTTCTATAGTTCATTGCTTCTGGCTCACTCTCCATATCAGCATTCAAGAAATTTACTCCCTGTCTGGTAAGTTAGAAAACTTAGTTCTACTTTTTAAATTCCTTTAAAGACTGGTTTGATTTACTAACAAGGAAAACTTGAGATGGTAGTTTCAAAGAGTGGAGATGGAAGCTTGTTCTCAAACTATCTGCCAGCGGCCGGGTAACGCCTGGACTGACGCAGGGGATGGGTGCCCTGAGTTTGCCACTGAGAAAGGCAGAGCACCACATCCAGGCTCTTGAAAGCACAAGAGTGGGAATTAGTATAAGTGTTGTCTAAGCTTTAACCCGATGTCCCCCGGTTCTGTTGGGTCACTCAGCATTCAAGTAAAACTAAGGAAGACTCTAGGAGCCAAAACCCAACTACATGCCCCTTCAATAACAAAGTCCCCGGTGTTCACTGCCACTTCTCAGCTCTGTCTTGTGCTTTCACTTTCAGTGTGTAATCCCTAGTCTTATTCAGATTGTGTCTGTTGTCAGTTCTTCAAACTGCCATTGAAAGAATCTAGTTCAGAGGCTAAGAAGAGCCCACAGAAATGTCCACAGAGATGGGGGATCAATTCTCTCAAGCCACAGCAATTTCCTGGTTTAATGGCAAACCAGGAGAAAGACATTTTCCCCCTAAACCTAGAGCAGACATGGTTTCAAGATTATGTGAAGCCATGCATCAGAACAAAGGAGGAGGAGATGGGAATATGGAATCATTTTGTCTGTGTGTTCCAGATAAATAGTGGATCAAGCTAGAGTTAGAATCAGCTTAGCTCTGATTAGTTGCATCTACTATAACCTAAAACAAAACAGAGCATTTCTTCTCTGTGTAGGTCTCACCCCTCAGAGGTTGTGTAGAAAAAGACTCGGTCTTTTGGTATGGTGCAACTAGATAGGAAAGTGTCATGTGTGATGGCTGTAAGAGTTAAAAGCGCTATCATTTAACTGGGATTGTCATGTAATTCAATCGTGTTTCTAATTCAAATAAAAAAATGATAAAAAGTGATATCATTTTAAATATGGGACAAAGTACCTGTCAGATAATAATGCCCATTAAAAGTTTGTTCTTCTGGCTCAGCAGTTAAGATCACTGACTTGACCACTCCTCTAGAGGACCTGGGTTTCATTCCCAGCTTTCATCGAGTGTCTCACGATCTCTATAACTCCAGGTCCAGGGGATCTGATGGTCTCTCCTGTCTTCCTGGGGGCACTGCATGCTCATAGTACATAGATATACATACAGGCAAAACACTTACAAAATTTTCTAAAAATTAAATAAATCTCAAAAAATAAAAGTTTAACTTTATCCTTTTATTGTTTTTACAAAGTAGGGTTGCTTTTTTTGGGGGGACAGGGTTTCTCTGTGTAACAGCCCTAGCTATCCTGGAACTCACTCTGTAGACCAGGCTGGTCTCAAACTCACAGAGATCCACCTGCCTGTGCCTTCCGAGTGCTGGGATTAAAGGTGCGCACCACCAACACCAGCTGGTTTTTAACTTTAACTTTAATTTTTTCCCACACAATATATTAAGTATATTCTCTCCCTCCCCCAACTCTTCCCTGGTCTTCCTACCCACCCAACTTCATGTTCTTTCTCCTTCATAAAAAAAAAAAAGAGAAAAGGGAGGGAGGGAGGGAGGGAGGGAGGGATAAAGAAAAAAGAGAGAGAAAAACAAGGAAAAATAACAAAATCTTCCCCATAGATCCCTGACCACTGAGTGGAGGGGTTTGATGAAGACGTCTCATGAGGCTTGAGTGCTCCAAAGTCTCTCACTCTCTGCACACTGTCTAGTTGTGGATCTCACACAGTAGGGCTGTTATTGTGAACAAAGCTAGTATGTAAATGTGGTAAATGAGCTTCTGCTTCAAATTATATGATTTATTATATTCTATTGTTTGCAATATTTTCAGCTTTTTAGAAGAAACTGATACCTAGGGTACAGAGTAATTTTCACAACTACTCAGGAGGACAGAAGGAAGGCATGTCAGCTTCAAATGTTGTTTCATGCTAGGGTCATAAGTCAGTGGCAGAGCACCTGCCTAGGCTGCATCAGACCTTGAGTCCAATCCTCAGTACAATCAAAACTAAAATACGATGTCAAATATAAGAACCATTAACTTGCATAAACTCCCCACTCCCTTTAAATTCATTTGTCTTCTACATGATTTACTGTTTTTATTGCCTCCAATAGGTGAAAAGCACCCTGACAATGAACATTATTAGTGCTGTCTTTGCCTTTGTTGGAGTGATTCTGTTTGTGGTCGATCTGAACATCAATGGCTACCATTATCAAAACTACTGGATGGTGGTCAGTATCCTGTCATGGATCGTCTGACTGCCCTCTCATCACTGCCAGAGAATTAGCTATTGTTGTCTCCTATTTATTATGCAGCAGCTCTGTTGAGAAAATTCTCTCTATTTCTAGCCCTACTCCTAGGAATGTGATTGCTAAGATACAAAATGAGAAACTTATATTTGCAGATAGGCGAAGTCATAAAGAGCACCCTGTGGCCATCACAGGAGCAATGGATAGAGCATGGCAGCTCCAAAATATACTCAGAATTTCTTTCTCAGCACTTTAAAATTCTGCATCTATAAGGTATCAAAGTTTGAAGTGACTTTTTTTAAGAATGAAAACAGAGAGGCAGACACTGTCGGCTCAGGTGAAATCAACTTCCTCTGATTATTTCTTTATTGTCATCAAATGTTTATTTTGGAGAAAAACAAATTAATTTTGATTTTTCTTTAAAATACCAGAAGACTTTTCCTTTGGCAAGTAGACTATTTAGGAATATCAGAAAATAAGTGTATGGCTTTTTTTTTCTTTGCAACAATCTCCTTGCTGTTATGAAAAATGTCACTCACAGAGTAGGTTGAACTTGAGTGAGATAGCACTTTTGATGAGTCAGGACATTTCTGTAATCTACAAGACCCTCCTGTTTGGCCTAACATTCTACATATTTCTGATTTCAGCTTTCTGGGAGAGGAATTGCAGGTATGCTGGCAATATTTTCAGTGCTGGAGTTCGGCGTAGCATGTGCCATGACCCACTTTGCCAACCAAACCAGGATGCATGGTAGTAACAGGGTAAGTTGAGTCTCTTCTTTGTAAAAATAACCTGAACACATGATGCAGAAACACAGGCTCAAGTGTGGGCTGACTACAGAGCTCTCTGCACTCCACTCTGCTGGGACGGGAGAGTGAATGGACTGTGTTAACAACACTGCTTGTTTTTTTCTTATCCTTTCTAGTCTGTCCCGACTGCTCCAAGTATGTATGTGGTCGACTCCTTGATGCAAGAGTCTTTCCCAGATTCTCGGAGATATGATAACATCCCAGCTTATGCTCCTAGACAATAACAAGCATGAAGAATCACTGGTACAGTTTCATACAGTAAATCTTCTCTGTAAAGAGGAAATCTTATGAAACTGTTTTTTGCTGCCCACAGTGTCTGCAAATCAATTTAGTGCCTGATTTGGTATTTGGAATTTGTTCCTAGGCTAACATCCCTGGGTCTTCAATGAGGGCCTCTTTCTGCTTACCATTACTGCAACTGTTGAAGGGAAAGGTCAAGAGGACTGAAAACTGACGCTGCAATGCTCTTAGCATTAGAAATCTTCTATCCATGTTACCTTTTCCACAATAAAATGTCATGGAACATAAGCCTCTTTGGGTATCTTTCTGACAGACACTAGCAAGGCTGGTATTTCTTGAATGGAGATTTACATAGTGTCCAGTCACTGGAGTTCCTTAGTCATCTTCCCATGTTCTGTTCAGAAACCACAGGTCCAGTGTTGCCTAGGGGAGGGCACATTATTTTACCAATGTTGCAAATCAATATTGTCACCAACCAGCTGACTGGTATTTATATTTTATTTTTATTATTTTTTATTTTATAAATCACCATATAATATATTAGATGTCACTATGGAGTTTTGGGGGTTGTTCTTAATTTGTCTTTAATTAAAATGTAATTACATCACTTTCCTTTGCCTTTCTTCCCTACAGCCCCTCCCAAGTTCCCTCCCTCCAACTCTTCCCATGTCTCCACATTCTCAAATGGATAGTCTCATTTTATTATTGCTGTTATATGTAATTATATACCTATGCACAAATACATAAATATAATTGGTTTGGTCTGTTTTGGTTGTTCATGAGTACATAAAAGCTGACCACTTTGTATGGATAACCCACTGGGGGTCCATCCATGAAAAAGGCTAATTCTCACTCTCTAAGTAGTCAGTAGTTCCCTGGAACTCTGGGTCTAGAACTTGTTGCCCATGAGGTCTCCCTTCCTCATTAGCATATCAGGTGATACTGCTACTTCTCCAGACCTGTTTACATAACCATAGTACCAGAAAACACTGCATAGGCTGTAAAGGGAAGCAAGCATTTAACAGTCCTACCCAACTGTGACAATTATGAACCACAACAATGACTGACATGGCAAGATATGGCTGTTGTTGGTAACCAACACCAGTCTAATAGAGTTAGGCCCCCTCAACGGGAGGGAAATCATGCCTGCTGCTAGGAACCTAGACAACTTCTCAGGACTGGTGAGGTCATAGATCTTATTAGAGAAACAACTACCATTATTTTACTAGGCCAGCATAATTCCTAACTACAGTCTAAATCTTATGCTTAAACCCACCAGTAAATGCAGCTGCCACCCCTCATCAAAAAAAAAAAAAAAAAAAAAAAAAAAAAAAAAAAAAAGCTTCTCTTTACACAGATGGAAACCTGGACACAAAGCAGAGATCAATGGATCCTGGGTGTTCCCAACCAGAGTGGAGACACCTTTTTCACGGATCATACATCTACAGCTCAGGCAACATGTTACACAGATGGAAACCTGGACACAAAGCAGAGATCAATGGATCCTGGGTGTTCCCAACCCCAGTGGAGACACCTTTTTCACGGATCATACATCTACAGCTCAGGCAACATGGTGGAAGAGGGGCTAGAAAGATGATAAGAGCCAGAATACAAGGAGGCCTGCTCTCACCATGGCATTTTTGGACAAAGCGTGTTTTAACAGTCCCTACCCCTCACCTGCCCCTCCCACTACCCTTGACTCCCCCTTTCAAGCCCTCAGTCTCTTTTCCTCTTCATGTCCTATGTGTCCTTTTGCCTGAACCCATCTGATGGGGGAAATACTTTTGTGTATGTTTATAAATAAAGTACTTGCTTGGCCAATGAGACAGCGGGTTAGGCTGGACTAGGAGTCAAAGAGGATTCTGGGAAATGTAGTAGAGAAGTGGTGTTCCAGATAGGAAGTGACATAGCAAGGAGACTCATATTTAAGAAGAGGAAAAAGGAAGTGTCGCTCTCTTTTCCCCTCAGCTCCTGCTCCAGCGGCATGATGTGATTCACCAGCAAGGAGGGACGCCAAAAAGGCGTCCGATAACGATGTATGATAATTGAGACTGAGCTAACATGAGAATCCTAGTCATTGGCCAAGCAGCTTTGTAACTAATACAAGTCTCTCTGTGTATTCATTTGGGCCTAACTCGGGCAGGCGGGCGGCTGGCGTAAAGCTCACATGTGGCCGTGGGGCTCAGGCAACTTTTGGTGGAAAGATTTATCGTAACATCCATCCTTCCTCTTCTCTCCTTTCTTGGTCTCCTTCCAAGTTTTTAAAGCTTTACTCACAATTACATCTGTGTTGTGGGGTATATATTTGTGTATCACGAGCCATCATCAGCATATGAGAAAGAACGCGTGGTGTGTGCCTTTATGAGTTAGGTCACCTCACTTGATATTGATCTATACAAATCCCAAGCTTCCTTTACTTTATGCAAATGGAAGCCAGGGAAAAACAAAGGGTGGCTTCTTCAGCACAGGCTATTCTGGGTCTTTGAGTGCCAAGAGGTCATAGACAGGACTAATTGATCCAGAGACATACAGCTTTTAGTCCTGCAAGAGAGGATCATGGATCCAAGTGAATAGACTTACAGGTCTCTAGATACTCAGGTCAGGGGCTTACAGCTCTGGGTTTCCATTATCAGCAGTCCCACACTTAGTGACCAGAAATTGATGGCTTTCAGCAGCCACTAATGTTGGCATTAATAAGCAAAAGCCAGTGTTTTGGCTTTCAGATCCCAAGTCTCCTAATAGCAGCTATCATTATAGCTCTTGGGCCTTGGCTCCTTATGGCTTGCTGCCTCCCTGGACTTCTTCCAGCAACTAGGGCCCACAGTCTTCAAGTCTCCTAATAGCAGCTATCATTATAGCTCTTGGGCCTTGGAGATCAGAACCTTGGCTCCTGATGGCTTGCTGCCTCCCTGGACTTCTTCCAGCAACTAGGGCCCACAGTC